TACTCAGATATTCACAGCTCCCCCAGGCGAGGCCCTGAGCAACCTGGCCTGGCTTTGAAGCGACCTGCGCCCATTCACGGGCACGGAGTTTCGCCTCTCCCTTTGCCCCGTCCCATTCCTTTCCCTGATCTCCTGCCATGTTTCCAGGTGGATCGACAAACTCAACCTCCGTGTAGGGGCCACCTGTGGGTCCCCTGCAGAAGCCCGGGGGCTGAAGGTGAAGCTTTCCACCACTTTCCAAACCTGCCCCGGCTGGGGCCGAGGAGAGGCTGGGGGAGCCAGTCCTGACAAGACCAAGGCTGCACGCAAGCCCAGCAAGAAAAAGAGATCAGGAAAATCACCAGCCCGAGGCGTCAAGAAGAGCAGAGCTTAGGAAACACGTGCGGGACGCAACAGGTCCATACCTAAAGTCTGGTGAGAGCAGTTTTGCTGGATTTGTCCCCACCATGGCAACATGGATATTGCACAAGGAGAGCCTGGTGCCACCGGAGGGATGCCAATTTGCCAAAGATGGAGGGTTTGTTTTTGCAGGACAGAGAGGCACATTACCCTAGAAAGAACTAGTGCAAAAAGCTTCTGTAGTGTTTGCAACGCGCTTTAATGACTCGAACAACAAAGCCAAATACTTGCTTTTTCTTCCCAAGGTTCCCTTCAGCCATGCAGAAAAGCTGGAATCCACAAGTTTGTTTTTGTTTTTAAAAGCACGGTGCTTTCACAGCTTCAGAAATTATTAAAGAGCCCTGAGCAGGCTGCAAACAGCACCGACACAAGATCCTGCACTGGCTCAAATCTTAGAGCAGAAAACTTAAAAATTATCATCAGTGAAAACATTGCCTGAATTCCCAGCAGCTCCTCAGAATTAAAACATAAGCAGATTGAAAGCTTTCTATTTCCTGCAAAATTTGATCGGTGGTTCCCACATCCCATTTATAAGCGACGTACCCAACCTATTCCCCATGGCAGCCCAGGTTGGGACCCCCCAACCCCAGGGGGAACACAAGGCGATTCTTCTTTTGAAAGTCAGAAGTTTGTTCAAATTGGGAAGGCTTTAAAAGGTAAAACACTTCTAGCTGTTAAACGACCATGTGGGCCATGGAACTGTTACAGCAAAAAACAGGAGGAGGAAAGCCAAAGGTGTTTGGAAATTATCATCCTATAAAGACAGCTGGCCTTACAAGCCCAGCGGTTTGACAAGGCTGGGGAAAGGCAGCAGCCCAAGAGGGAGGGGAAGAGAGAAACGCAATGGCTTTGCCCTGAAACAGGATCCTCCCACATTAAGACATCTATTGCAAGCTGCTGATAGGCAGAGCTGCCAGGACAGGCAAGCAGGCACCAGCAGGTGGGCAGGGAAGCCCCAGCACCATAAAAATCCCCCACCC